AGAGCAGCTAAAGGCTTAACTTTCAGAACCTGGCCAATTTTGGCACGGTTATCGCCAATCTCAACAACGTCAACTGCAGATAAAAGCACTGATTAGATAAGATTTAAAAGGCCAGCTACTTTGGAATAAATCTACAATGCTTCTATAGGAAGCCGAATGAGCAATTCAGTTAAATCAAGCTATCTTGGAATGTTGGTGCAGGTGGCAAGCATACTAGGATCATTATCTCCAAATGCCCCCTCAACTTCAGTATTCGCAAATGAAGGATCTTCCCATGTCTGGGGAAGCAACCCATAATTCCAGTTAATGTTGTACCTGAGAAGTTACAGAAAAATGGCACCTGAATAAAGGAAGAAAGGAAAAAAAATGTGAAGAAAGATCAGATGTCCTAAAGAGATAAAAGCTAGTGCAATAGGTAATACGCATATAACTGAAATATGTGCATAGAATTACAAACAGATGATAGTGTTCTTTTGCTAGATAAAAAGAATCCCAAAGCCAAACATCAGCCACTGAAGGAAATAATAATCACCCTGATAGGAGCTAAAACTTCCACGCTGAATGTCAATGGTTGATGATTTAGTCTACGTCTAAGGTGTGACTGGTTGAAAATCTGAACTTGCCATGTGAAGAATTCTAAAAGGAAATTCTTAGTCAGAGATATCTATCTTTTGAAATCTCTTGATTTATTCAAGGGAATGAGAAATAAGGGTACTTTAAGGTCCATGAACCATCAGAGAGAACCAGAGAACCAGCAAAGAAACTCAAAGGTGAGGCACTAACATAATTTGCACCGAGTACAAAATCAATTGAAATGTGTCCATTAACCAGTCTGTCACCAGTAAGTTTACATAGTGATTCCAAATTGGGCAGCCGCAGTGATCAGTCAAGCCTAAGACATGTAAATAAAAAGCATAAAAAGAATATGAATTTAGTCTTACGGATAATATCGAAGTTTTCCCTTCTTCGTATCTTGTTTTATAGGGGTAAAATGTTCATCAGTTGCAACCTCCATCTTTGCACTTGATTCTTTCGGAATTTCAACAATAAAATTGAACACGCCATCACCCAAATGCAATGGAATATCATGCCAAGGAGAAATCTGCACATAAAATTGATACAGAATGTCTCATGAAAATTTACGAGAGAACCCATTACTTATTAACTACACATTGCCAACTACTTTGCTTAAGAAGCAATATAATCAACGGACTATAATTCTAAATCTGGTCCGAGGAGGAATGGCCCCTCAATATTCTAAACATTTGCTTGTATAAAACCCTGAATTTATTCGACTAAAACTACAAAAAATATTAGCAAACAAGATATCAAAAGGCTCACATGGTAACCAGAAACCAGGCAAATGAAGTGCTTATACTGTCAAAATTACGAACTTGACTATAAGTTTTAAAATCTCCCAAATAATTCAAAAGTATAATAACAAAAGCAGAAGTTGGGTAGCTTTCCCCTTTCCTAACTTTAACACGCTAGACGCTTAAACATGGGATTTCAGAAACTCGAACTTAAGAATGTCAATAAGAATTTTTCAGACATTCGCTACAAAGCCAACAGTATCAAGACAACTCCAACAGTCTAATGAAGTACAAAGAGCATATGGTTATTCTATTAAGCGATTGAGAATATCAAACAAGAAATCTGAAAAAAAACAAAAACAACATTCTCAAAATCAAATAACCCTTCTTCGATCACAAGCCATAAAAGCACGCATCTTTAAACAGATTCCAGCACAAAAAAGGAAACAAATAAACATCATTTTCAGAACTAACTAAACCCTTCAATCCCAGGTCATAAAGCAAGCATCTTTGAACAAATTTCGGCATAAACCAGCCAAAAAACCAAAAGAAAATAAAACCCACAAAAAAAAAAACACCTTCTTGCCAGAACCGTCATGGAAAAAGACTCTGTAGTCAAGAGTTTCAGGCTGGCCCTCTTCTTTAATCTGAACTTGGGGATTATAGATAGCACTGCAGGTAAAAAGTCTCCTCTTTTGTAAAACAAGTCCACTCTTGTTGCTGTAGTTGAAACATAAGCTGAGGCTGTTGGGGCCTCGCAATGGGGCTTTTCTCAATAATGAAGTGGTGATATTGTTGCTTGCTGACACTATCGCTCTAGTGGCCGCCATTGCTGCTGCTGCTTCTGATTGTTGACTGCTGATAATCGACGAACAAAGAAGCAGGGCTTACTCCTGTTTACTGCTCTAGTTAATTGTTGACCACAGACCCAAACGCTAAGGCCTGATTGGTTGACTGTTGCACAAAAGGCTCTAAGGCATACAAACTTATTGACACATCCAACAAGTATCTTTTTATTTCATATATATTCTATCGTTATAATAAGTTTTTCTATAAAATCTCTAAAAATTTGGTCTTCTTTCTCGCAGGCTTATAGTGACTTAAAAATACAATTAAAAGCAGAGGAATAAAGCACTAAGACTCTAAGAGCATCCATCTGTTCCTACCAATTACAGCATTTATTTAACCAGGTCCGTGGCTCGTGGGTAGCGTGCCAAGTTGCCACAAGCCAAATTGATGTCTTTGTCAACCTATTTATGCCAAAAGAATAAGGGAAGCCAAAAAATTACACCCAAACTTTTTTTTTTGGTTACATTACCGATAAGTGATATTGTTAGAAATTTAGGAGAGGTCAATGAATCAAAAATAAAAACCTCACGAAAAGTTTTTGAAACTATTTCAAAAGATTAAGAAAAGATAGTAGCGATTTTTCAATATTTGATCCATATTTTTAAGCTTGGATTAGATTAGTCGGTTCGATCGGTTGAACCAAAATCGGCTAGACTTTCGGTCCGAATTCATTCAAAAAATCGCTTTGAATAAAAATCAATTAAAACCAGGTTTGATCGAGAATCGAAAATAACCGCAAGAACCGGAAACTTGTGTTTGGATTGTAAGTTATTTGAGATATTTTTACTGTAGCACTTTTTGTGATGTGATGTATGTGAGATAAAAAGGTAATTGGGAAGATAAAAAGGTATATTGGAAATTGTAATGGTGATGTAAGCAAATATATTTGGGCAAATAACTTACCATCCAAACACACTATAATCGAATCAGCAGGGGATAATCGACTAGTAGCAAGGTTTTCAACTTTTATTTTATGACTTTGCTTTCAAATGATTAAGAAAAGATACTTATTGAGTTATGATCACTTATTGTAAGTATTATGTTTTCTTCTGCTCAGGTTAAACAATGACTGGGCTCTCTGGGAGGGACGATGTCATCTTCTTCAGAGCTCAAAAGTAGCAGCCGTCGACCTTCCTAAAGGCTCTCCACGGAAAAAGCGTCGTAGAAAATGTTGACAAACGGCGCGGCCATCCTGGTTGATGCAGGTGGTGGAGGTAACTTTTGTTTCATATATATATATGCCTTCGCCATGTGATTCAACAAATGATTTGAGAGCCCTTGTGTGCAATCAATCATATTTGCTAAAACACCAGGTTTTGTCATGACTGACAAGCTTATTATCATCATCAACATTTGTTACAGAAAAAGAATCCAGTGGGAGATTTCAGGTCATTTCTGTTTTTGCCAAGGATACGAGACACAAAAATAGCTCAAACACTCCATCATTACGCTTATGCAAGTGAGAGCTCACCCGCAGGGATAGACCTTGTGACAAGTTTAGTCCAAGCTTCATTGGTTTCCCTGATAACCTTGACAGCATAATCCTGTCCAAAAATGATTAGATTCTTCAAAACCACTAGGAGGACATAATATTTAAGAGCTAAAGTAGAGAAAGAAACAAAGACGTATGCAAACAATAAACAGCATCAAATGTCTGCATGAAAATTGATTACTTCTCCTGTCTTCCACTTCCTCCGTCCCCCCAATTTCTGTTTTCTTTGCTCTCGTAGCCTTTTCATTCATCACAAAAGACTTCAATAGGTGGATGTGCTTCTTTCCTCTCATCAGTCATCTCATCTCCATTGGAGGATAGGATAACGGGGAGGTCAAAAGCCAAAAGGAGGTGCAAGAGGGAAGTCAAGGGAAAGGGTAGACTGATACACAATCAAGTAGTTAGCCACCCCGATGGCCATCCAATTAGCAGTTATCCCCATTATGCTCATATGAATTTAGAAACGAAAACATATTTGAGAGCAAAAGTACAACCAGGGAACCCCCACCCCCGGGGGGGCTAAGTACCACCTTCCTCTGACCTCGAAAAAAAGAATGTGTGCGGGTTATAATCTCTCTTCCAAGTAACTTATCTTTTGTTTCAAGAAAATAAGTATAAGAAGAGAAATTGCCAATAAAGTATTCACAACAGCAAAAGAGTGCAAATTCCGCCCCAAAATGTTAAGAGAAATTACCCTCGACATAGCATTGTGTGGCTGTTCTAACCCTCCCTCCTTGTCTCAAACCTACAGTAAGACACTCCCTTCCTTTACCCCTTCTGCCTAACCTACATTCAGTAGACAATGACATGGTAAGGGAATTTTTTCTCCCTCTCTGTTAGCAGGCATTTTCAACAAAGGGCTGCCACTAAATGGACTTTTAGAAACAAATTATAAGTTGGAATGGAAGTTTGCAGGTTGTACCATAATATGTTGCTTGAGATTACTGACAAACTCTAATAGATTACTAGAGTTTGGTGATCCATATATAAATGATTGATACCCTGAGTTTTAGCACTCTATGAACTCGGGCAGTTGAGACATTGATGCAGAGCAAAAACAAAAAGCCATAGAGCATTTATGATAAGGGTATATTAAGCAAAATATAGGTTGTATGACTGATTCACAAGAAATCAAACCTTTTATGAAAGGACATTTCCCGAATCAGGAAAATGGAATATCTTTTAACTCATCCATTCAGTAAAAGACAAATCTGGATCTTGCATAATTGACCGTGTACCTTGTTAGCTGGCTTGTTTCCTAGACCAAACTTGTTGCCAGGTATTCCATCATAGATCTTATAGTCTCTAAAAAACTCGCTGATCGCAGTTAGAGTGGCCTGAAGAAAATGTATGCTTAGTCTTGGACCAGAGAAATGTATTATCACGAAATAGATCAATAAATTTGCAAAAGATTATAAAGAAGGTTATTCCAGGAGGTAGCCAGCCAATCAGTCTTGTCGGTAAGAGACATCTTTACCAAATATGAACTTCTCTTTAGCAGATTAATTCTTTGCCTGTTGCTTTTGTCTTCAATAGATCACATATTTATATACTTTATCATGGATTGTCGAGCTAATGTGATCATTCATCCAATTATAAATTCTTAACCTAATTAATCATGCTTTCTTTTGCATGCTTACAGATGTCTAGAAGAACAATGTGAAGCCCAGGTTGAAGTATCTCATACTCAAAAGCGATTCATGGCCAGATTATTAGGTAGCCCTGATTAGATTACCAAATCACCACTTTTTCAAACACCCAGAAACTAGGCCTCCAAAATGACATTCATGCTGCTAAATTGAAAAGAAACTTTATACTGAGATGCGGTGGGAGTCCTACATCTTTTAATACCATTATGAGAAATTGTCCTGACAGAGTAAGCCAAAAAACAGAACATTATTATCTGCAGATGAATGGAATACAGAAAAAAGAAGCTGTAAAGCAAAAATGTGAGCTTCATTGAACCTAAACATACCGGAAAATATTTTTCAATGTCATGAACATCATCAACGAGAGAACATCTTGGATCATCCAGGGAAACAGCTATTATTTTCCAATCAAGTTGACCCTCATCAATCAGTGCAAGAGTAGCTAGTGGCTTGACTCTCAAAACCTCACCAACCTTGGCAGAGGTGCTCCCAATCTCAACAACATCAACTGCATATTTAAGGGACTCTCAGATGTATGAAATAAATATGCTTTCTATAAAACTGTTATTCCTTTTGGTTAGAGCAGTAGAAAAAGACACATTATTTCAGTAGAAACGTTGATCACAAGATAAGAATAGATAGATGTTTACCAGGATCATTATCTCCAAATGCGCCCTCAACTTCTGGATTTGCAGATGAAGGATCTTCCCAAGTTTGAGGAAGCAATCCATAATTCCACTTCATAGTGCATCTAAGACAATTATATGATGGTAACTAATGCTGAAAAAGAAACAAGAAGAAGATACATTTTGCAATGAATTACACAATGTTCCCACAAAAACTTTTAACCAAAACATAAAACGTTCACCTAAAGGCCCGATAAACAATCTTGTCTATGTTCAGGCCTTCTCATCTCCTATTATGACACTTGGTATTATTACATATGCATTTTGTAAAAATACTCGGGAAATTACAAAATTTTTAATTTAGATTCCTTTATAAGTGCCAAAATCCAACTATCATTGACATAGATAAGTAAAGTATGATAGCTGCAATTTCCAACCACACCATGCTTATATTCCTTTGTGTAAACTAAAGTTCATAGTCAACTGCTTAATGCTTGCCAGCCTTAATGACACGATTGCCTATAAAATATGGTTGAATTCACTTATCTGACTAGCTGGTTTCACCAGTGAGAAAGTAGCTATCCCAGAAGACGGAGAAAACTAGCAGCCGAATGGTGAAGTTGTAGAAAATAAGTTGGACATACCTTAGAGGCAAAAATGCTATAATCATCTCCTTGATTGAAAGCTCAAGTTAGTAATCCCTGTAGCCTAACTGTATCATTTTCATCACATTCATTAAGCATCTCTTGAGGAAGACAAATTTGTTAAGAATTACTGTTAGCATGAAGCTGGCAAACAGATATTTATATGCTATGTTAATATGACTTAACATACAAAAACCAAAAGATATGCAAATTTTAGAAACTTCCTAGCATGCCTAATGGAGAGAATACACTTAGCATGAAGACAACAGTTAAAAGCATCCTTGCACGCATTACCAAATTCTACCCCTTATTTTATCTTGTTTGAGAGGGGTGTATAGTTCATCGGTGGCAAGCTCCATTCTCAAGTTTGAATCTTTAGAAATTTCAGCAACAAAATTGAACACGCCGTTGCCAACGTGTAGGGGTATATCGTGCCAAGGCGAAATCTGCACATTTAATGAACACTGTTTAAAAAAAGAAAAAGAAAAAGCGGGAATCAGACGAGAAGATGGACAGTATGAGACAGAAGTCACAAGTTCATCTTCTATGTAGCTACACCATTCACACAAATGTAATATAAGATTTTAATTGTTTTTGAGGTGTTAGAGACAATACGGAGTACATTAATTTATTCCACACTTTCTTAGCCAATCACCAACATCGAATTCGAGCATTTCCTGGACCGAATATAGCTCAGTATTTAAAGGGTCTTTGTTTTGTTTTAAAACAAAGAGCAGATTCTAAGCAGCAGGATTCCTCACCCCTTTTAACACGTTTCCAAAACTGAGCAAAGTTCATCTAATGAAATAATTGAAACTGAAACGTTGACAGAAGAACCCAATTTATCCATTCTATCACTTCACTGAGTCAGTTATCTCTTTAGTTCAGTGAGTCGGTTTAACATTTTCTGACACAATATCGTCAGATCACGGTCAAATAACATATGAAGAATTTGATTTTTTCCCCTATTATTTTTCGTATACCTTTTTGCCAGTATTATCAAGCAAGAAGACTCTGTAATCATGGCTATCAACCTGGCCTTCTTCTTGGATCTGGTAACCAGGGTGGTTAAAATTACGGCGAATGGCGTGCCCCTGCTGCTCAAGTCGCTTGGTGTTTTCGCTGATGAAGCGGAGGCTGATAGTACTCGATCGCCTGAAAAATGGGCTCTTCGTTAATGGCCAAGTGGAGCCGATCCCTGGTATCAATGACACCATAACTCCGGCAGCTACCATTCCTAACAATTTAATATTGCATTAGCTCGCTGTTGCTTGTATAAAATTTTTCATTTTCCTCTTGGTTGCTTAAAATTTGCTTGCTTGCTAATGAAATTTCCTAACATTAGAATCATGTGGTGACGAGATGATTGTGATGTTTGATTTGTCGCTATAGCTAGTTTGGGAGCTGTGATTTGACGAGAAAAGAAAAGAAGGTGACAAGAAGGGCGTCTTTCTAACGTTTGGCAGTATTTGAGCGGCAGAAAAAGAGCGGAAAGCATATGATTTGAAGGGATGAACTCCTACTACTTTGCTTGTCAAAGTTTTCTGCCCAGGCAAGTAAAGGAGAAGCTGAGATTGTCGAATAAAATTTTTTTAAATACAATTTTGTACGTGTATTGAACAAATTTTTATTAATATATATGTATCCGAAGTCATCCATTTTTTTACCTTAACTTCCAGACAACAACGTTAAAATCTCCTCCTTTTTTTTTTCTTTCATAACTTAACATTTCCCATATTTTCTTTTCTAACCTAAACTCCCAAATTGGCTTACAATGATAATTGCAACTGCCATATACTTATCGGAAGAGTTCTCAACAGTTCACCTCACTTCCCTCTCGTTCCTCTGTGTTGGTTTAATTTCGATACATTTTGCAAGGTGATGTAAGTTGTTATGGTAATTTTTTTGTGTATAGTTATAGATAGCTTAACATTCAGCGGTGTCAGAATGGTTTGGACGGATTATAATTGGGTGATGGTATAATTGAATTGATCCATTTATACTAAATAGGCATAAATGTGCATGAGTTTATGACCTGTTTGAAATTCTTTTTTTTTAATTCTTTCCCATGACATTTTATTGTGATTAGATCAATAAAATATTCAAATATATCCCCTTAATACTCGCCAAATATTGATTTTGAACATGTAATTACTTTAAATGGGTGAAATGAGTTAACCCATTATCTACTGATTAAATGAATCTACCTGAGTTACTCATGTAAAGTTAAAATTCATTCAAATTGTATTGTATTCTCAGATCCACTTATTAATGAGCGGGTTTGGACGAATCAATATAAATAGGTTGTGATTGACACTTTCATATCAAATCATCGGAGATAATGCTAAGCTCCAATTATAGCCTGTACCTCTCAAGTTGTAGTATTGTCTCTAATTTTGTACGATACGTATAATTATAATTAACATGTCCCCATTTTAGTATAAAAGCAAATTTCTCGGCTCATTCAATTAAATTAGTAGCATGAAAATTATAACTACACTAAGGTTATTTGAATTTCTATCAAAAGTCATAAAAATTACAAAATTCAACTAAAGAGACCCTTGATCCGGACGGACTACTACTTGAAATTTTGGGGCAAGTATAGTGTAAAATATATCGAAGAATAAAGAAATAACTACGTCACATTTGAGAGGTGAGAAATGTCAAGGGAAAAAAAAAAAGAACGACTCTAACTTGTCAGGAGTTAATAGTCTGCTAGTTTTGTACCTTTTGTTTTGTATTATGTCATGCAAATAGTCAATTTGTCATTTTGTCAGCATTAGGGCTTTTGTCAGCGACTCAGCATGAAAGCATCGATCACCTACCATGCCTAGTATAACACAAACTTTTTGGGCGTGTTGCATGACACATTTGGTGCTTCCATGTAATAATATACTCTTAAATTCCAAATAAAAATATTGAGAGTGGAATTATTGTGCAGATATTTACACTAGAAGGTAATTGGACCAGAATAATTGCAAATATATTCGGTAAACTAGAACTGATTGTGTTGAATGGGCACTTAATATGGAATACAAAACTTAAATGGGAAGCAGATGAATATCCAAAGATTATGTCGCCGGTTGCGCAAATACCTTTTTATGGAGTCCCTGATTGGAAATTTAGAGCCGTGCGAGTCAAAGTCTGAAGTCTGGACTTCTCTGGTAAGTAATCTTGCCAAAGCTAAAAGCTGGCGGAAAGCGCTTAAGCACCTGATAATTGAAACGGTAAATCCCGCCCATCGAATCATTATATATAAACCCTAAGCCCTAAACCCCCGAAATTAATTATTTCTATCAAGAGAAGCTCTAATAGTAGTAAGCTACTGGCATGTTATGATTGATCTGAAAATGGCGTCATCCGAGATCGAAATCGTATCCGACTCCAACGATCAGAAGAACGCTTGCCAAAACCCTACCCAGGTTGCCATTGTTGACATTTTCTCCGCTTCCGCCTACGGCGACTTCGACAAACTTCGAAATTTCGTCGAAAACGACGGCGTTTCTGTCTCCCAACCCGACGGCAACGGCTACTACGCTCTCCAGTGGGCCGCTCTGAATAATTTCCCTGATGTAGCACAATATATCATCCAGGTAATTGTTCTTTAGGAATTAATTAGTGTTCGAAGATTCTTTTTTTTTTATTATTATTATTGGCTCAATTTTGCTCCAAGATCGAATTATTTGGATCATCTTGAAGCGCGGTGGTGATGTTAATGCTTCGGACAATTCTGGACAAACGGCGTTGCATTGGGCGGCTGTCAGGGGATCAATTGCAGCTGCCGATGTTCTGTTGCAGAACGGGGCGCGAGTCGAGGCTGTTGATGTTAATGGTTATCGGGTAATGTTTTGCTGGCTTGTTGAATATTCTTATGATGTAGTAATTACCGCTGAAACTTACTTTCAGTAGTGTCATTGTTCATTATTCTATGTAAGATGCAATTCAAGCGATGGAGTGATCGGAACGTAAAAACACATTCTTTTTGAAGTTTTTAATTTTTCTTGGGGAGAAAATTTAAGTATGAACTCGGCAGAACTTTGTGCACCCAAAACTAAAGGTTGCTTTTGATTTAATTCAGATAACTAATACCTTGGCAGTTAATTTCAAAGTAGTAACTACTGACATTGCAGGCAGTTCATGTAGCAGCTCAATATGGACAAACAGCATTCTTAAATCACATTGTTGCAAAGTATTATGCTGAATTTGATGTGCCTGATAATGATGGAAGAAGTCCCCTACATTGGTATGTTATATTTGTTTGCTGCATCTGTATCTTCTTCTTCCCCTTTTTTTTCCCTCTTCCTTTTTTCTTCTTTTTTGCTTTGGGCAAAATCCCTCCAGCATACCACTTGTTAAAAAATTTTCAGTACCTAGATGGGGCATCTAAATGAAATTGGGTAAAGGAATTGAGTGGAAAAGTTGGAAGACAAGAGGAACAATGAGATTTAGATGGAAAGTCAAAATTGAAATTGTGTGCTGTTGCATTCTCTTGCTTTTTTTGTCACATTGAGGGGTAAAATGAGTCTAGATAGAGAAATCTGGTCCCATTCTTATTCTATTAACAGGTCTATTTCTAATTTTCATTTTTTGTTCTAGAAATACCGATCTAGTCATCTATTATTGTCAAATAAGAGCAAAGGGGTGATCCGAATCTTGTAATATCTGGAGTTTCCTGGATTAGCGGTTTTAATGACAGATGTCGTTTTTGTCTGCTAAATGCTTCTGTCTGCCATACTAGCTAATATGGTAAATGAAAGTACAACTTAAATGTATTCTGAAGTGCTTACTTAATGATTATGTGCAACTCTGCTTATCCATAGAGGCGTATTGTTCTGTTAGCTGAAGATATTGATCAGGAGTTTTCTTTTACTTGACCATCATATTGTGGGTGATGCTGTGATTCAATTACAGTTGTTGGATTAGTTACTCTTTTGCTTGGCCTTTTTTTTTTCTCGGTTAGTTTAGGTATTATTATCATTATTTCAATAGTGACATACGATGCCAGTTTCCTGAACTTGAGTTTCTCTTCTGCTAATGGGCCTATGCCTGCTTAAATGGTCTCTTTCAGGGCTGCTTACAAGGGATATTCTGATACAATCAGATTATTGCTATTTAGAGATGCATACCAAGGGAGGCAGGATAAAGGAGGTACGTTGATATTGTATTGTGGCACTTTTGCTTGTTCTGTTTATCCTTGGAGTCTTTGTTGCTCAGCTCGTTGTTAAACCCGAAAGCAGACAGGTTGACATGACAAGACTCAGGCATGTGAGTGCACATTACATATTCCATTTGGTAAATGCCTGATGGGTTCTTTGAATCCACAACTAGTCTGCCAGAGGCTGTTCATCCTTCATGAGGAGGAGGAGGAGTGAAGAAGAATTGTTAGTAGGACTGATGCAACAAGGGGTGGGGGAAGAAGGGGGAGAGGGAGGGTAGAGAGAGGGTAGAGAGAGGTTCTTTATGTGAGTGGGACTCAAGGGCTTTTGTTGAATTCCTCAAGGATATTTGATCATGCAAATTCACTTAGGGTGGTGAATATCCATTTTGACTTAAACATGGATGTCACTCGGATACTTTTGTATTAGCCAAAGAACTAAAGGCAACTGTGGGTGACACAATGCTTTATACATTAATTGACTGGACACTTATTTCTGTAATCTCATTTGATAACTCGTTCTGGCCAAATTGATCTGTCATTGAAATGTAGGCTGTACCCCTCTGCATTGGGCTGCATTAAGAGGATATGCAGAAGCATGTACTATTCTCCTACACACAGGCACTAAGGAGGAACTACTAGTGAAGGATAAAGCTGGGTTTACGCCTGTACAGCTTGCATTTGACAAAGGTCATCGACATATTGGTCTTTCCCTCGTAGGTAACTTTGCATTGGTATAACTTCTAGTTGTATATAAGATTAGTAGCTGTTACCCCCAAAACTGTCTGTTTCTGGCCTTTCAAGTTGCTGAAGTGTTTTACTCAAATCTGATGGTGGCTCAACGTGCAAAGTTTTCCATACTCCACCTACTGTAGTTCTTGGCTCATGATACACATTTAAATATTTAACAATTTTAAAAGATGGGAGAATGAGAATACACTAAAATCCATATTTCTTTTGATAAACTTTAGGAGTATTGACAGCTATGCTGGTGATGCTTCTCTTGTATGCAGGGCAGTAGTGCTGTAATGTTTGAATTCAACTATATTTGGTTCTTGGTTTTTTTTTTTTTAATTTTTTTGGTTCTTTAGCTAAGGGGCTATTATATAAATTGTGAGATGGTAAAAGTTATGCATCCTAAAGTTAAGAATTTTAGAAGTAACAAAGTAAACAAAGTGACAAAAAATCCTAATCTAATTAGGAGAGTTAGTATGTGTCACATATAACTGAAATAGCGCATTCTTCTGCTTGTCAAGTAGAGATTTTTCTTTGACTTTCCTGTCATGTGAGTTGAAACAATTTATCTATTCTGCTCGAGTATCAAAATAGGACAGTTTTACCTTTAGGAAGGCTGATTTTGATACGATCTGATTTGTTTTTGTTGCAGTCTAATGTTCTGCATGCAC